GTTTCACCTACGGCAATGCGACGGTTAGCGACGAATAATTTTGTCGCAAATCGTTTTTTCCCTAAAGTTAGAAGTGGTGTTGTAGTTAAGGCGGAAGAATTCTATTTTTGTTTCCTTTTTTGCTCATATCACCAAGTCTTAATTAATCACATTTCTATTGCAGTTTCATTATTAGACACAGCATTTTATGCATTTTCTATCGCCATAGATTGAAGGAAAGTATACAGTATACATACGGTATATCAGGCAAGACTAGGAATAATATGCGGCAGGCAGTGAAGTGTAGAGTTTGATGAATTTCACAGTTTAAAAAAATCACATTTCACGATAAACTGACGCAAAGATAACCTCTATTATCTAATTAGAAGTAGAAATTCTTCCCAATTCTCAATAAAACATGAAACAGGAGCGTAAGGTTTTTGAGCAAAGATTGGTGATATTATAACGTTTGCAGTACCTTTAGAGATTCTGAAAAGAGGCCCAATAAGCTTTTGTGCAATAAGCATGCTTTAGCACTTCATACTAAGCAATTATAAATACCTCAAATTTTCTCTGCTAGGTTTTCTAAGCAGGAACGAATCCGTTTTCAATTAGAATCAATTGAAAATAATGTAACAAGAACTAACTTCTTAATCGCATATTCTGCAAATGATACATTTGTTTATACATAAAGCGTTTTTTTTTCTCGAGAATTTCTTGAACTTTCCAAGGATGGGATATTTCAGGAAGACAGTTAATTCTCTTCAATGTACATTTCTAAAATCCTAATCTTGTCCCAAACTTCCAGTAGAGTATACGCTTTTTCCTTTAAAACCACATATTGTAGCATGACGAATTTCCCACAGGGCAAATTCACGATTTCTTTGCCCCAGCAGACGTATGGCTTTCTTGCTAACGGAATTTTGATGTTGCGTTCGATTTCTCTGACAAAAAGCGCTTTTAGGAATATTTTAACTCCCTGTCTCAATGCAAGCCTTCTGAAAGCTTCCATCTTAAAAGTATGGAAAAACAATGTGTAAAGTAAGTGTGTAGTTCCTATAAGGAAGAGGTGTACGAGACTATTAACACAATGCAGTCGCGCGCAAAGAGAGAAGGTCAAAAGGTGGTCGAAATGTCACTTTTTTGATTATTAGTAACTCTTCTGTGAGGAGTAGTGGTTCGATCTGAAGGGCTAGTTTCAAATCTCAGCCATAAACCTAGTTATAGGATAGGACTGCAATATATTGTAGGTACAACGCTGGCACAAAAAATACAATTCCGGCCATAGCTTCTGCAAAAGAAAACTTGATTTTTACATAAAAACGTCGCGACGGAATTATCCGTCCCAGAGCATCGTCATAACTTCTTCTACGGACATTTCCAAGAAAAAAACGATATTAGACTCCGCTCGTCGAGACGAATCCTCTGTATGCCAAACTACTGTAATATCGAAGGTGTACGGTAGGCACACGGTAGAAGATCAACATTGCGAATTCGTCTAAAACTTCGCGTAAAGGGGTTTTTGGTACATTGATCACGGAAAAAAACTATCCATCTGTCACGACGACGCCTTACTGTAAGGATGTGGTAGCTATACTATGGGAGGTCAATAGATTACGCAGATTACTATAAATCTCCCCCTACTGGGGTTATGTGATACGCTGACAACGGAAAAAAGATACTAATTAGGGTATCGGTCTGTAGAGATCTGTAAAACATCCTCTACAATGCGAATTCATTATAAGTACCCCAAAATCTCTTACTTATATCTTTGACCTATCAACGAGAAACTTACGAATTTTCCTTACCGATTAGTTAAATTTGAGAATTCTTGTTTAATTTACAAGGCCGTGTTACATTGGGATCTTCTCTTAATGTTTGTACTTTACTTTTGAGTAGCATATCAATCCTCCCTCTGATGCACATCTGTACGATTCTATGGCCTAACATTACTCCGTACATCTTTTGCATCTCCACAATAATGCGCTACGGTGAAACAGATTTGTCTGTACAGCATATCAAATAATCACAGTAGACCACTTTCCGGGCAAATCCCTAATTTTGAATTCTAACCGTACACTTACTGCAAGCCTACAATAAAGCCCAAACGAGTGAAGTTGATATGATAGTCGTGATCAGCGTGGTAAGTTACCCCTCTGGGCAAAGTTTCAACAAGAAAAATGTGGCTTTTGGGTCAAGAATTGCTGCATACTGCCGCAGTGAGTATGGCTGTTGACGTCATCGATCGGTACTCATCGATATTCTTATCCTTAAAATCTCAAATGGGATTATGGGGTGCTGGTACGCGGATTCCGTTTAGTATGTATGGTAGAGCCCTATTGCAGGGTTGCAGTAGTTGTGCGGTAATGTAGGACCATATCACGGATCCAATTGTAGAGTGGTCTAAGATTATTTGACATACTGATCACAAATCACCGGCTTCGCATGATAATTTTTGCTGTAATGTTGTCTTCTTCTACTACACAATGTATAGCCAGACATTTTTTATTCAACAATTAGCCTGCCAACAATTCGTGAACCTAATAAAACATTTGTAAGTTTCATTTGTATTACAGGTTCTTCTCTTGTGAACATTAACTATTGGGTTGGAAGGAAAATCTTCTCCAATTCTAATTTACATATTATGTTTTTCCTTGTAAGAGATATCATACCACGGTTGCTATAGATCCTGATAGGTTACAGCCAGTACTCTACGAGTGTTACAAAAATTCAACCAATGATAATGTCATAAGGTGACGTTAGTTCACCTTAGTCAGTTTAGAATTTAAAGTTCACAACAATAGATGCGATTCCTTTTTGAACGCCCGGGTCCAAGGAGGAAATCATCTTGGGTAATGCTAATAAAGTGCTCTTGGGGCTTTTGTTATCGAACGGATGCAAAAGTTGAGCCTTTTGTGCTACCTGGGCAATGCGGGTATGAAGCCAGCAGCGCAAAAGTAAGCAATCAGTCAGTGCAGAAGTTGGCTGGTACCATAAAAGTAACAATGTTAACTAATTCTTATGACATTCTTAAGGCATATTTTGACAGAAAAGCTAGAAAACTGCAACATTGCGAACGGTTCTAGTCTGACATCTGGCATGTTCGCTAAATGTGGGCTTGCCTAAGTGGTTGCACCTGACGGTTCAATCCCAGTGAATGATGCTTGTCATGATTAATCGTTATAGAACCGAAGTGTCGAACCTTATCGAATTGCTGCTTCTATTAACGTAAAGCAAAACTTTACAAGGTGCTGCATTGATGACATAAAGATGTTATTAAAATGGACATAGCTTACTGATTGACGAAAAAGTTGCGAGAAACTCCTTTGTCTAATCGCTCTAACATTACAGCAGACCATAATGCAAAAGTGATGATTTGATCAGCATGTGAAGTAATCTTAGTAG